AATGTTGCTTAGCTTAAGGAAAAGCTTATTTATAATCGAAAGAGAACAGAGGAGAATTGTGAGCCCTTCCTTAATAAGAATGGATTTTAGAGCTGAAAGGAGACATGAGAACCTTCGTCCTCACTGATTTTTAGACGTTATCTAACAGCTCCATGCTCTGGTTGAGGCCTGGTGACCAGGTTGTGACCAGGCGAGGTTGGGACCCAGGTTTCTACCTCCTGAGGGCCCAGCCTGGGTCTTTTTCTTTACTCTTAGAGGAACCTCACTTATGTATCAAGGTAGCTAAATACTAGCTTGGTTCAGACCTTTCACGTGACTGAATTTCTTTACGACAGGATGTAAAAATATGAATAAATAAGGCACTTTTTTTTTCTTTCAAAGATTTTACTGCTGGTGCTTTCCACGGCACTTTAGCAAATGGACCAGTGTTAGCATAAAAATTATACTAAAATCGTTAAGGTGTGTGTAATGATAGCCAACGGTGTTGAAAAATGAAGTGTTAAGAGAAACCTCTACTCCATATAGCATTTCATTAAAATCTGCAGAATCACACGTAAGATTATACTCCAGTTTTGCTAGATACAGTGCACTCTATTACTGTCCCGAGTATAACACTAAATATAAACTGATCCATGCTGGAGCTCTGAATAAAATCAAGAGAATTTCAGCTCATTATTTAGTTCCATCTTACAAATATACACTTATGAATTATAGGTTTATGGCTTATGAGATATCATTCATTCATGCATTCATTCATTTAATGAGTATTCATCAAGTTCCCCCTAGGTGCCAGGCACAGTGTTAAGTACTGAGATTTCAGGTAATGAGAGAGTAGTCTGACATCACTGAGTTTATAATAAAGTAAATAACCAGAGAGTTGATCAAGAGCATGAGGGAACTAAACTGGGCATTTGAGGAAAATTAACAGGAGCATCTAATTTAGATCAGATGGGCAGAATGCATAGAAAGAGGCAAATAGCAGAAGAGGGACAATTAAGAGTCTATTATAATAGACCAGATGGAAGATCATGGTGACTTGGGCAAGTGCAGTGATTCTTAACCAGGGGCGATTTTGTACTTTAGGGGACATTTGCCAATGTCTGCAGACATTTTTTGGATGTCACAATGTGGGAGGAAGGTGCTACTGACATCTAGTGGATAGACTCCAGGGAAGTTACTGACATCTTACAACACACAGGACAAATAATTTTAGGAACCAAAATCAAAAGTTTTGAGGGAAAGAACCCCCAGGCTAGCATGATAGCAATGGAGCTGCAGGGAAGCAATTTAAAGATACATTTTAGAGGTAAAACCAATAGTGTTTGAAAATAGACTGCACGTGGGGGAAAAGAAAGGGAGAAAATGATGCCCTGAGTTTCTAGTTTTAATAGCTGAATGGATGGTGGTCCGCATATTGATATGAGGAAATTTGGAAGAAGGCTTGGGGCAGGGACAATGATATGGCACAGAATCAAGAGTTTGACATGTCGAGTCAGTTAGAAATAACAATTAGAACTGGCTACATGAATCTGGAGTTCAGAGGCAAGTTCTGAGCAAAGGATAAAATTTGGAGCTCCTTGGCTTAAAGGTATGTAACATCTTAAAAACAGATGGCATCACGTAGGGGAAAAAGTACAGATAAAGAAGTAGCCAAGAAATGAGGATTTTGATTCTAATCACCTTCACAGTTCAGGAGGTGCTAAAAGCCACTTGAACTTTTGCTTTCAATGCCTTGGGTAACATTATAAATATACTCAGGGATACTCAGCACATTTTGAAAGCACAATTACAAGGTTTGTATTCCTTTGTTTATTCTAAAGTATTTTTCTCTGTATCTAATTATCATCTAAAAAATTAAATAATTTTAAATGGATTGGTACCTAAGTAATGTCACCAGTCTCATAGGAAGCACAATGCTCCATACTACTCTGTTGCTGCATTATTAACCATGGTGTGTCATTTAAACTTAAGTTTTGGGAAATGGGAAAAAGACATTTTTTGGATGTCATAGCGTGGCATCAGACATTTTTATTCTTAAGAGGGCACTATGAAAACTGTGAACCTAGAGTGGTTAACACAGTCATTTGGGACAAAAAAATAACTAGATGCATATATATACAAAATATAGTCCTAAAAAGTGTGAAACAAATTAACGGCAGCTGCTGATCACTCATGAGTAACTCAACACCATGAGCCTAAGTGGTGGAGGAAAGCATTTTAACAAGAAAATCATTTTCAGTTTTAAGCTCTACAGAATTCTGCAGATGATACAGAAAAGCAACTTAAGTGTAGCATATATTTTTTAAGAAAATTGCAATCTTTCTGAATCTTCAAGAAATGCAATCTTTCTGTTATTTCTGACAACCAAATAGAACTGTTTACTCATAGACCAAAGGTAATGCAGGTAAAAAATAATAAAATTTCCTTAAACAGCATCGAACTAATTACAATTACTATACGATCCATGGAACCAATATTGTTGACTCATTTCCTATCAAAGCATTTTAGTCTCTGCCATCTGAGGCATATTTAAACTAAAATTGCATGTATAGATTTATTTACCCAAGAAAATAATTACCACAAATGAAGTAATATATGCTGAGTAACAAGAGCTTCGAAAAATACTTTATACTTATGGAAAATGCTTTTTATATCATATGTTCATATAAACCTTCAGTGGCCTTATTGTTATTATTATTCTCATTTTACAGATGAGGACATCAAGTCTTAAAGAATTTATCAGTCAGTATAGAGTAGGTTATGCTGCATTAACAAACACATCTCAAGATCTAAAATACAAAACTGATTTGTCATTGACTTGTCCCCTGCGTTGCTGGTCTGAGAACTCTGAATAGTTCTCCTTTCCAAATGGTGACTAAAGGATCAGGCTACTTCCATCGTGACGTCTAGAATTTGTGACCTTCAGGGTTTTTCCGGCAGGAGAAGAGAGTCCTGAGGGGCCATGAGAAGTCTTTTCACTGCCTTTCTTTTCACTCAGAATTGGTGCATACCATTTCCACTCACGTTTTGTTGGCTAAAAATAATCAAATCATCACACCTAACTAAAAAGGTACAAGCTTTAATGTGTCTAGAGAAAGAGAACTGGATAATGGTAAGCACCAACGATCTCCACTACTGAGAGAGAAAGCAATTTCACCAGGGCTACAAAACTAGAATTAGGTAAAACCAGAACTCAAACACATTTTGTTCAAAAGCTGACCTCGTTCTAGACTATGGGTTCTCAGCATCTAGACATGCAATATTTACTCTCTGCTGGTCCTAGCTGTATCAAGAAAAAATGAAAAACTGCAGATGCTTAACGCAAATCTTTAGGTTTAAAAATAAATCTTCTAACAAGTTTTATATTTATTCTCACTTTAATAAATGCTTACTAATTACTTATAAACTACCCATTCTTTGAGTTAGGAAGCTTCACTCCCTTATCAAGGCCTTCCTAAACTCCTAACTAAGGTTAAATTCCTCCGTTTCTTCATGCCCAAATTACCATTATTTGTAAGTTCATCACACTTTTTAAATATCTATTACTTTCATGATGTCAGC